GCCGGTGCCATTCTGCCATTTAAAAAAAATTTTTTTTATCCGATTAAGCGAACTCCATAATCAGCTAACTAATCGATTTTGAAAATAATCATTAGCTGCAGCTCTAGTGCTGTGTCCTTCAATGAACTCAGAAAAGGATTTTACGTGCGAGTACTAAAAATCCTAATTTTCTCTTCCGTTCATTGAAGGACACAGCTGTATCTTCATTTAACGGAAGAAACGTCCTAAAGCAGGAAGAACTGAGGGGTGGGAAACCAAATAGAAGAAAAAGGAGGCACCCACAAACGGCCACCAGAAAAAGCCTTGCGGCCAATATCACCATCCACAGAAGCATCAACATCCCATATAAAAAGAAGGCGTGCACTGACGACCAGGTGCCCACCTAACAAACCTGCAAAACAGAGCCTAAAAAAGGTGAGAAACTCCTACGGCTCGAACCACATGCAGGCAAGGAGGGCCAACACACGGGATTCGCCCAAGACAAAAAGGAAGGACAATACCCCCAAAGAGGTGGAAAAAAGACACCACCTAGGAAAAAGGAGGGTTGATGTCAGAGAACCACCATGCCCTTATGCAGGCCAAAATGGAGGCAGGCAAAACAAGCCAGGCAATGGCGAAACCCTCAGGACTAAGACGACAGCCACCAAAAAGGCCACCGCTGGAGATAAGTGGAACAAGGACAGCTCACGCTCAAAGGGAGACTGTTACAAAATGGTATGACCCAACGAATGCAAGCTAATGGACGCTACAAACGAGTAGTAGTCCTACATGTCCTAGGCATAGAGTATACCACAGAGTCTGATAGCCCCCTATCCTGCGCCACCTGGCTAGCAATAACCACAATTTAAAGGCCAGCGACAGCAAGGAGGATTAAAATTGTGCCTAATGACAGAAGATCCTGCCATAGAGGGAGCCGCCAAGAAACATCTGTGACCAGGCCCACATACAGAGGATAACAAGATGTGTCACCAGAAGAATCGGAATCTCCTTAGATCACCACCCATCGCAGTAGCTGCAAAGTTTCAGGGGAGGAAACACATAAATGAGTCCATAGCCAAACCACGCACCACCAAGCATCCACCCAAGGAACCAGAGGCCTGGACACGAACCACTCATCTTTCAACCAAGACGGGAGACCAGATGATCCACATCCAGATCCCCTACCTTTGGTAGCTCTGCATAAACAACTCTGGAAGTAGGGCCCATTCCCCATCATCCAAACCCTTACTAAGACACTTCCAGCGCAGCAGCCAACTCCACACACCACCAAGATGATAAACATATGTCCCGGTCAAGGAAACGTGGGTCCGAAACGCGACAGGATGCCCGCACAGAAGATCCATCAAATGAAGACAGACTGATCATTTAAAGTTTCAAAACCGCGATCGGGAACCTGAACTCCTCCCTGGTCCAAAAGCCTAGTCAGACCACCACCCAGTCACTCTACCCCAGCTGCTGGGTAACCCTAGGTAGAACGAGCTATCCGCAACTGCCTGTCCAACAACAATGAAGATTTTGCAGTGAAAAGGGATTGCCCACTGCAGAATACAACCCCCAACAAGGTAACCATAGACCAGAATGCGCAAACAATCCCACGTATGGACGCCCGAACACAACAGCATTTCCGATGCCGAAAGTCCCATTCAGGAAGCCAGGCGGCGTGTAATGACTCGCCACTTGGCTTCCCGATTAGCCGGGAAGCCACCCCCATGCTTTCTCGTCACATAGTTGCTGGCCAATAATGGAAGCTGGGCGCCGTCTAAAGAGGTGGCGCCCAGCTTCCTGATTGGTAATGATGGAGTATGAAGTTGGCTTCCTGGCCAATCAGAAAGTCAAGCTGGCCAATTAGAAAGCCGCGCGCTGCGTTAATACAAAGTGCCCCCGGCTTCCCGAACAATCAGGAAGCGCGTCATTACACGTTTCCTGATTGGCCGGGAAGCCGGCTCCATGCTCTGACAAGAGACCATGAAGCCGGCTTCCTGATACAGGAAGTATCGGGCCAGGCATCAGAGTATTTGGGCGAATACGAGTGGTGTGTTCTCGATCTTTTCCCTGCATAGAGCGGTGACTGACAGTCACAGGGATTCCCACCTCCCCTCTCTGTTCCTCCACTGCTAACTGGAGGGATGGATAGAGGGGACGGGCACAGCTGACTGTGGCTGTAGAGGCAGGGCCAGCTGTCAATCAGTTTCGGGTCACATAAGTATATACATAGTATATGATGGTGTGTACTTTGAAATATTCACTTTAAGCCTGATGAAGGGGACCCTGCGTAGCCCCAAAAGCACTTGATTCTACTTTGAGTGACTTCTGAAAAATAAAAACAAAGATTCACTGAATATTGACGTGTTTGTCATGCCGGTGACATCTCTTTACAACAAACATAAGGACATTAGTATATGTCCTCCCTTGACCCTAAAAAGAACTATGGCCAAAAAAAAGTTGGGCCATAATTTTGTATGTCGTTCTGGCCTAACCAATAAATACCACCATCCCAGAACAAAGCTGGGAGAAGATGTCAGTGCCAACACGGTAGGAGATTACAGTTGCACTTTAGCATGCACATCACCACAACGTTGTGAATAGGCGCCAAGTATAAGACCTAGTGGGCAGCGACTTGTAAAAACATGCAAAGGATTTTAAGCTCTCTACCCACATACTGACTGCATCAAAGAGGGAAATTGTGAAGAACTGACAAAGTCCCTTAGCCCTCGTTCACACCTGAACGTTTTGTAGCGCGTTCTACGCTCGAAGAACGCTCTACAAAACGCTCAAAAATATAAATTGCATTGGAGTCAATGGACTCATTCCCACCTTGCCGTATTTCCACCCGTCCCGAACGCGCTACAAAACGGCCCACGCCTGAAAAGGTACAGGTACTACTTTGGGCCGTTTTGTAGCCTTCAGGGTCGCACGACTTTTTACAGACGCGCTTTTGCAATACGCCTAGGTGTGAACGAGGGCTTAGTGTGGCCAGTTACGATCCATATCCACTGGATAATGTCCCACGAAAAAGCATAGCGCAGCTGAAAAATGTCATGGCAAAACTTGAATCTATTTGGTCCCCGTGGATCTGTAAAATACTTTACCGCCACTACACCTCACCGTCTCCTCTCCATCTGAACTGATCTCCGTTTTTTCACTTTAAGAATCGTCCCCACAACCTGACTCTACCTCCACCCTTTCCTACGTCCGTTTACTCCCCCTCCCTGCCGTGTCAATTGTCTTATGTGGCGTCATACTGTTTAATGATGTTGATTCCCTTAACAAAAGTCTGTATGTCATTCATGTACCATTATCTCGATGACCCGTTCTACATGATCTGGAATCCACCCGGTTTGTGCATTTTCTATACTAGACCGGAAGCACAAGGGGCTAGACCTCGTGATCAACTCCATGCAAGTACCATTCATTTGATCAGTTAAGGTCATCTCCAACTCATACCCCATATGACCAACCCTGTTTACAGATGCACACTAGCCCTTACAATTTGTCCCATTGCATAATGCTTACCCATTATAAGTGTTGCCTATTTGATTGTTTTATTTGACTGCAATATTTCTTATGATCTTTTCATATTGCTACCATGTAGTTGAACACCTTTGTTTTCAATAAAAATGTATATGATAAAAAAAATACGAAGGAACCGGGGCTGAGGTGGTGACCCGATGCTGGAACTGCGGGGTCTGAGGTGACCCCATG